AGCCATATATAATTATATATGTATATATAATTATAACAGCCATAAAAAGGAAAAAAGTACTAATACACATACACTAATATACTATGGATGAACCTTAGAAACAGGCTCAGTGAGAGAAGCCAGACACAAAAGTCCATGTAGTATATGACTCCATTTATATGAAATGTCCAGAAGAGCAAACCCAGAGACAAAAAAGTAGTTTAGCTTGGCCAGGGACTGGATAGAAAGAGAAATGGAGATAGGGTTTCTTTTCAGGGTGATGAAGTTTTCTGGGATTAGTTACTGGTGATGGTTGCACAATTGTGAATATACTACAAACCATTGGAAATATACCCCAAACCACTAACTTGCACACTTCAAGAAGATAAATTTCATGTATATGAATTGTACCTAAATTTAAGAATCTTTCTACATATTGTAGAAACATGAACATGAACAACTGTACATGAACAAGTCTGAAAATAAAAATAAAAAATAAATTTAATTCACAATACAACAAAAGGGATAAACTTAACAAAAAACTTGTACAAAAGAAGAAAGTTGGAAGACCTACACTACCATGTTTCAAAACTTAATAAAATGGTGCTATAATCAAAACAGTGTGGTATTGACATAAGGACAGGCATAATGATCAATGGAACAGAACTGGTAATTCAGAAATAAACCCTTTCATTTAGAGTCACTTGATTTTTGACAAAGATGGTAAGGCAATTCAATAGGGAAAGTATTTTTTCCCATAAATATTTGCTGAGACAATTAGATATCCAGATGCAAAAAGATGAAATTAGATTAACTCACACCATATAGAAAATTTACTCCAAATAATAAAGTTAAATGTAAGAGAAAAAAACTGTTGATCTTTTAGAAAAAAATATAAGAAAATGTGCAAGACAACAGTATGTAGATATGACACACCAAAAGCACAAGCCTAAAAGAATGGATAAATTTGGCTCCATCAAAATTAAAATATTTTGTGCTTTCAAATATACCTTCAAGAGAATGAAAGGGTAAGCCACAGATAGGGAGAGAATATTTGCAATAGTACATATATCTGACAAAGGACTTGTATTCAAAACTTAAAAATTCCATATTAAGAAGACAAAGCATTTGAAAAAAATGGGCAAGAGACTTGAACTCCATGAAAGAAGATATATGACCAAGTAGAATATAGAAATATGCTCAGTATCATTAATCATCAGAGGAATACAAATTTAAAACTGTCATGATGCACCATTTCACACTTACTAAAACTGCTAAAACTATAAAGACCAACAATACCTAGTTTTAGCCAGGATGTGGAACAAAATTTAATGCTCACACACTTCTGGTAGTGCTAAATTTTATGTATATACGTATGTGTGTGTGTATGTAACATATATATTTGAATTGATATATCTCATATATGATAAATGAGATATATAAATATATGATGTATTGGCATTCAATAGTGAAGGCAAAATAAAGACATTTTAAACATCTATGAAACAAGAGTTTCCCACCCATATATATATATATATACATACACACACACTGAGAGAACTATTAAAAGATAGATAATACCAAGAAGAAAGAGGCAGAAGAAAGGAATAGGTTACATGAAGCAACAGAAAGCAAAGTAATTGGCAAAGCATATTGGTAAACCTAAGTGGTTACCAAAACAGATAACATCTTATGTGTTAAAAACAACACTAATACTAATATTCAAAATAAAACATGAAAAATACTTAGAGGAAAGTTAAAGCACATCAAAGTCATTTTAAAAAATATATTTTACATAGTTGGATTGTCATTCATTGTCAAAGTGATGAAAGATGCCTTAAGCCCCTGCAACCCTTTTTGTTTCAGTCTATACTCTAATCCTATAAACTGAAGTAGGGAGGGTTTCCACTAGAAAAATGGCTTGTTGGGCCCTGTCTAGATTGGTGGCATCAAGCTTTTAAAATTGCAACTCATACTAAGACATGTAATTGACATGTAGTTGACAAAGACATTTAGTTGACTCACTGTGTGTACATAAAACAGAAGACAAAGTTCCATAAATACTATTTGAGTAATACTATTAAATTTACATCCTGTTATATGAGTAATACTATTATATTTACATCCTGTTCTACTTTATTCTATTTCACTTTTGGGGGTTATTATTTAATAACAGTTTATATTGATTTCATTATCCACATGTTCTTAAAGCTTAAGAAAGAACTGGTAAGAGTGTTTCCTGAGAAGTCTCAAGCGTTTACCTCTCCTACTTTAAAGATACCTGATATTAAGTCTGAAATTAGGTCAAAATAAAAAGTTAAACAAAAAACATATGGTACTGATTGGTTACTTTGTATAAAGACCACTGAGATCTTCTCAATTAAGGATATCTTACCTGAGCCGAAGGCAGTGGCTTAACCGACTGAGCCACCCAGGCATCCCTAGCATCCCTAGCATCATCCTTTCTATCAGCAGCATAGAGGCTGAATGAATGAATGAATGAAGATGAATCTAAGAAGATTCATCTTAGAAGATACATTTTCATTAAGCATCTCTCTCATCAAATCAGTCATCAAATTCTGTTGATTCTATCCTCACACAACATGGCTCATATCTGTGTTCTCCTTCCCCCCATTTTTGTTTTTAAATTTAATTTTTAAAAATTGAGATATAATTGCAATAACTTTATGTTAATTTTAGATATACAATATAATGATTTAATATATGTATATATTGTGAAATGATCAAAGTTCTTGCTTTGTTTCAGTGGAGAACCAAAATGCTAAAACACATCAGACTTTGTTAGAAAAATAAGGGATTATGGATGCTAAAATTTTAAGTGTAACTACTAATAGAATATAAACATAATGAATAACTTCCAAATTAATCGGGGAAATAAGGAAATCAGTGTAACAGAAGGAAAAGACAATAAACAACACAAAAAAAGAAGGATAAATACAAACACAAAACAAATGGTAGAAATATGTTCAAATATTGCACATTACAGTAAGTAAAAGTGGATAAAATTCACCTAGTAATAAAAGAGACTCTGAAATTGGATTTTAAAATTCCAGCTACATGCTATTTAAATAAACATGTCAAAGACAGAATGATACCCAAATGTTGAAAATAAAGGAATGGGAAAAGTTTTAATAGGCAAATACCAACAAGAAGAACAGTATTTAAGTAGATAAATATTTAATAGAAAAAAATAATAAATTAGTCAAGAAACAGGCTCTTAATTATTGAGAACAAACGTGGTTACCAAAGGGGAGGTGGCTGGGGAATGGGTGAAAGAATAATGGAGATTAAGGACTGCACTTCTCATGATGAACACAGGGTGATGTATGGAATTGTTGAAACACTGTATTGTATACCTGAAACTAACATGGCATTATTGTTAACTGTACTGGAGTTAAAATTAAAAAAAAAAAAATGCATGCGATGCAAAAAAAAAAAGAAAAAAAAAGATACCTTGCTGGGAGATTGTGCCTAGTCACTTCTTTCTCAACATTATCCCATTCTACCTATAATAATGAACTTTGACCTCCATGAAAAAAAATAACAAATTTCACTGAGACTAGTAAAGTCCCATTGTACCCCTGCAGGAGTTTGAAAACAGTAAGAAATTTTTAGAATATTATTTGTGTTGAGTCCTGTGAAAATAAAAAAAAATGTCATTAAACATGGAGTTGAGAAGCCCTAAATGAGATCTCTCACACACTACGAACCTCCATAAGAAGCCATAACTCGTATTAGCCAACAGGAAGAAGCTTACTTTATATACCCTAACAGAAGGAAGAATTTCTTCCTACCCAGCAAAAGCCCAGCTAGTGAGAAACCACCACACTCAGCTAATGAGAAGCCATAATGGACCTTTTTAGCTTTCTCCTTTCACCTATAAAAGCAAGCCCCTCTCCTCTTTTCTGGACTTGCCTGTGGTTTGCCATGAGTTTGCTTGTCCCCAAGTCCACTTCTCTGCTATTCCCAAATAAGCTCATTTTGCTTATAAAATAACTGACTCTTGTTTTTGTTAAGGTCAACAGTCTTTAAAGTTAACCTTCATATCTATTTATCAAGCCTTTTTTAATTGGGTAGAAGATGATTTTCATTCATGGAGTGAAAATACAGATTTCTTATCTTATACTTTTGAAAAAGGTTTAAATTTTCTTCCACCAGAATATAAAAGGATGCATAAATACAGATGAAGTAGAGGGTAAGCAGAGAATCAGAAAACATGATCAGATCCCTATGGCTGCTGCTAAAGAATTACAGAGGGCAGGGACATAACCTAAACTGTCAACTGAAGAATACAGACTAAACTTGGCTCTTGAACAACAAAGGTTTGAACTGTGTGGATCCACTTTTATGTGGATTTTTTTTTTAAATAGTACAGTACTGTAAATGTGCTTTCTCTTAGGATTTTCTCAATATCCTCTAACTTACTTTATGATAAGAATACAGTATGTAATACATAGATAAAATATGGGATATTGGGAAAGCTTCCAATCACCAGTAGACTATTAGTAGTTAGGTTTTTGGAGACTCAAACGTTATATATGGATTTTTGACTGTGCATCTGGGGGGAGGTGGTGGTCAGCACCCCTGAGCCCCATGTTGTTCAAGAGTCAAATATATAGGATTGACTGAGAGAGCTCTAAAAAAAAATACTGGAACCAAGCAACTATACTTAAATTAGCAGTCATTGTATTTGGTAGAACTACTGGTAATTTTAATTTTTCTTCATACTTTTCTGGATCTTTCAAAATTACAATAAACATAGTATTTTTATGATGAAGAAAATGTTACTTTAAAAAATAAATTATTTCTATAAATTTTCTTTGAATAAGACTATAAAGGAAATCTGAATATTATAAGATACAAAAATTCAATAGCTTTTCTTTCATGGAAATTCAACAGTATTTGAAATGGATTAAGTATTGAAAACAAAATTTGATTGCTTTCAACCTTTATGATTTTAAAAGGTTACCTAAATATTTTGGTGTGGTATTTTCTTCTAGGAACTTGATCAAAATGCCACTGAAAAAGTTCAGGCAATGTTCACAGCTATTGATGAGCTCTTATATGAGCAGAAGTTGAGTGTGCATACTAAGAGTCTACAAGAAGAGTGCCAACAATGGACATGTAGCTTTCCTCACCTCAGGTATTAGAGCCCCATGGTTGGCTTGTATTCATGGCTAACTAAAACTTGAAAAGCAGATATCCAAAAGAGCTGCTATTTTGAAATCTTTATAGGCTTGGTTTTAATGAATTTAAATAAGGCCATATGGTATACAGACTCAGTTGAGAGAAAATTCAAGTTGATGGAAGTTTCTTGGAGTTTTCTTAACTACCACTATGTTGTCCTGAGTAAAACAATTTCTATACCAGTAGCTGAGATATGTGTATTGTGGCCGCCCAAACAGCTCTTCTTTTGAGCAAGAGGGTCAGAAAATGTATTTGTTTACACTGTTGTCTACAAGAAAATTCTTATGTATACTTGAAAGCAGACATAAGCTGTTAGGAAATGTTCCTCAGAAACCACATTACTGTACTTATGACTTAAAATTTATACCTAAATTTTATAAAGCATCATGTTCTTAAGAATATAATTCACAGTTTTCACTAAATTGGCCTGGCTTTCATCCATTTTGGCAGATTTAATGAAGATTATTGTAGAAGATAGAGGGAAAATTACAAATGTTTGCTCAGCTTCCTTGATTTTTTCAACAGTGGGGAGGCTTTATCTTTATCTTTTCCATCTCCATTTTTTGGAAGAGAGCTATACCTCTCTCTGTGGATTCACATTTTCTTCCAAGAATTATTCTTAAACAGTATCAGACTAAGTATGTACTGGACTTTTATATAGAGCCAGTAAATTTGTTCCAAAAATATCTACATTTTGTATGAATGACAGGTGAAGGTGCTTAATTGTCTCTTTATGTTGTTCATTTTGAAGGATTCTGGGTAGGCAGATAATCACTCCAAGTGAAGGTTATGGACTGTATCCTAGATCCCCTTCTGTTGTTTCAGCTTCACAGGAGGCAACACTTTCTCAAGAAAGAGATTCTACTATGTAAGTATTTCTAATATGTGAGTATTTATGTATCCAAATGTGTAAGTGTTACATTCTGCCAGTTATACTAGGGGATTAAAAAACTTTTTACTTGTTGGTATTTAATAAAGCACAGAGAATTCTGTTAAGATTAACTATAGTTTTTGTGCACATAAGAATTTTGTTGTATAATTTTTTTGTTTGAAAAGTAAGACATTCCCTAGGGTTTAAGGATATTTTTGTTATTTAGATTCATCTCTATCTCTGTATTTATGTTTATCTATAAATACAGGCACTTCCTTCTTGAAATAAAGTGTAGATAGACTGGGTTAAAAAAATTTAGAGGTCTGAGAAACACTTTAAAGATTTTTTGAGGGATGCCTGGAGGGCTAGTTGGTTAAGCATCTGCCTTCAGCTCAGGTAACGATCCCAGGGTCCTGTGACTGAGTTCCACAATCAGGCTCCTTGCTCTGTGGGGAGCCTGCTTCTGCCTCTGCTTGCCGCTCCCCCTGCATGTACTCACATGATCTGTCTCTCTGACAAATAAATAAAATCTTAAAAATATATATATATATTTTGAAAAAATTTTGAAAAACTGATTTTTTCTTAAACATGTAGTATTAATTACAACTTAATTTCTTTACAGAAATTAAACTATTAGTTTATTAGCTTAAGTTGTGTAATTAGTATATTATTTAGAACAGCTAATTCTTTTGAATACCTCAAACTCGTTAAACAACAGCAAAATAAACCTAAATAGGATTATTCCACTTTCTTACACCACACATAAAAATAAATTCAAAGTAGATTAAAGGGGGCACCTGGGTGGCTCACCAGTTGAGCATCTGCCTTTGGCTCCAGTCAATTTCCCAGAATCCTGGGATTAAGCCCCACATCGGGCTCCCTGCTTGGCGGGGGTCTGCTTCTCCCCATCCTTCTCCCTCTGCCATTCCTTCTGCTCGTGCTCACTCTGTCTCTCTCAAATAAATAAATAAAATCTTAAAAAATAGAACAAAGACCTAAATGTGAGAACTGAAACCATAAAAATCCTAGAAGAGAACACAGGAAGTAACCTCTTTGACCTCGGCTATAACAACTTCTTTCTAGATATATCTCCTGAGACAAGGGAAACAAAAGCAAAAATAAACTATTGGGACTTAATCAAAACAAGTTCTGCACAGCAAAGGAAACAATCAATAAAAACTAAAAGGTAACCTTTGGAATAGAAGCTATTTGCAAATGACATATCTGATATGTCCAAAAATATATAAAGAACTTATAAAACTCAACATCCCCAAAATTAATGATCCAATTTAGAAATGGGCAGAAGACATGAACACAAATTTTTCCAGAGAAGACCTGCAGATGGCCAACAGCCACCTGAAAAGATGCTCAGCATCACTGGTCATCAGGGAAATGCAAATCAAAACTACAGTGAACTATCACCTCATAGCTGTCAGAATGGGTAAAATCAACAATACAAGAAGCAATGGGTATTGGCAAGCAATACGGAGAAAGGGGGAACCCTCTTTTTTAAAAGATTTATTTATTTATTTGAGAGAGAGAGAGCAAGATAGAGCGAGCATGAGTGGGGGAGAGGTGCAAAGGAAGAAGGAGAAGCAGGCTCCACGCTGAGCAGGGGGCTCCATCCTAGGGCCCTGGGATCATAACCCAAGCCGAAGGCAGATGCTTAACCAACTGAACTACCCAGGTGCCCAAAGGGGAACCCTCTTGCACTGTTGGTGGGAATGCAAGCTAGAGCAGCCACCCTGGAAAAGAGTATGCAGGTTCCTTAAAAAGTTAAAAATGGAACTATCCTATGAGCGAGCAATCACATTACTAAGTATTTACCCAAAGAATATAAAAACACTAATTCAGAGGGATACATGCACCCTGAGGTTTATAGCAGCATTATCTACAATAGCCGCATTATGGAAACAGCCCAAGTGTCCATCAACTGATGAATGGATAAGGAAGATTGGGGTGGGGGGGTGCGTGCGCACACGTGCGTGCACACACACACACACACACACACACACGATGGAATATTACTCAGCCATAAAAAAGAACGAAATCTTGCCATGGATGCATCTAGAGAGTATAATGTTGAGCAAACTAAGAGAAAGACAAATACCATATGATTTAACTCATATGTGGACTTCAAGAAACAAAACAAAACAAAGAGAAACAGTCCCTTAACTGTAAAGAACAAACTGATGGTTACCAAAGGGGAGTTGTGAGGGGATGGGTGAAATAGGTGATGGGGATTAAGGAGTGCATTTGTGATGAGCACTGGGTGATGTATGCAAGTGTTAAATCGCTATACTGTACTCCTGAAACTAATATCACACTGTATGTTAAATAACTGGAATTTAAATATTTTTAAAAACCTAAATAGAATTATTTCAAAACCTATGTTTACCCCTAAATCTATTGTAAAATATCATAGTTTTAATTCTTTTGTTGTTGTTCCTAATTTTTTTTTTTTACCAAGACTGTAGTTTTACTTATTTGAATCATCTGCTAAGAGTTTTAGTAGCAGTAGTTTTGATGCGTTTTTTTGGAATTGTAGACTTTTCAAAAGACCACAAAGTAAAACATTACTGCATTAGGCCAGTTATGGTTATAGGACCTGGGTTATCAACTAAATAGTCAGATAATGGGATTTGTCTACTTTTCTCAAATTCTTTCTTTCTTAAATTCAATTTTCTTGTCACTAGACTGAGCTTTCTTTTTAAATTTAAACCTTGTGTATTACATCAATAAGCCTTTTTAAGTTTACTCTTTTTATATAACCTACCCAGATTTTTACCAAGTAATGTCTTCCACAGAAATGATGTATTCTTTCTCACTGACCAAAAATTACATAATTCATGTCATGTCATTAATATATTTACCTGTTAGCATAATATTTATATATGCCTTATTATTTTATAAGTAGTAGTTCCATTCAGACACTCATCTCCAAGGAAATAAGTAATCAAGCCTGAGCAATTAGTCCCTCTTTTTTTAAGATATCTGACTAAATCATTCAGCAACATACTGCAAGCTTCCTTTCTTTCCTTTCTACTTGCTACCCCACTGCTGAGTAGCTCTTCTTATTTTTGGATTTGCTTTTCTGGACTATTTACTTACAGTTTTCAATTATTACTTTCATTTACTATACAGATAAACATCTATCTATACTTCATACATAGACATATACCTAGATGAAACAAATTATCCAGCTTCATTAGAATACTACTGCTTAGGGAAAGCAATAACAAACATAATCCATGATATTTACTTTCATGTAACTACTACTTTGTCCATACTTGATATTTTCTTGAGTACCAGTTTGAACTCAGAACACTGAAAAATATATATTTTAATTAATCAAAATTACTATTGATGCTCAGATTGTTACAACTTGGCCATGTCAAGCTAGTTCTTTTGTTTTTGTCTTGATGGTATCCTTGCTTTCTGGTTACAGCAGGATGTTCCAGGCCTATATTTAATTTTTTCTCCAAAATATAAAATCAACTGAAATGTAAGGAGACCTACTTCTGTTGAGAGGCTAAGAGTACTTGAGAACAAAATTTGGGTAGTGAAGTCTGTAATTGGTGCTGCTGCTGTTTTATTACTTTTTGCTGTAAGAGTTATGGAAAAATATGTCATGAATTCATTTTGATTTTTTTGCAGTTTAACAAATCAATTTGCCACAAAATAAGGTTTATAAATGACTGAGACTTTCTACAAAAATAATATTTCAAATTATATCCATTCTTGCCACTCAACATTATATCTGATTTTCCTTTTAAAATTAAGGGTTGATACTTTCTGTCTCCCACTTAAAAATCTTCAAGAACTTCCCACTGAATTTAAGATAAAAATATAAAATTATATCATAAGCTGACTTCAGCCTACATCTCTCATTATCTTCCTGTCATTCTCTCTCTCATTCACTAATTCTCTCACATTGGCTTTCTTTAAGGTGTCAAATGCACTAAACTAGGTATTTGGTCCAGTTTCTATTCTTGAGTTCTTGGGCCAGAGAAAAGTGGTACAATAAAAAAAAGACAGAAATACAGTATTTTCTTCTTTGTATTTCTTAACACCTAGCACAGTGATTACAACATGGTTAGCATTCAGTGTTTTTTTTTTTACTAAATTAAAGAATAACATACCAAATGATATGAAAATGAATTAATGTATACATTGATATGATGGTTGCAAAACAAAGTTATCAATCAAAACACAAATTGGTGCCTAGGTCAAAATGGAATTTCAGGAGCATAAAATAACAGAAGATGGTGGTAGCATAAGGAGAAAACACAGACAAAAAAGGACCATGAGACTATGAGTTTAAGGGCATTTCTACTTGAAAAAAAATATGCTCATTACTGTTTCAAGGTAGCATAAGGATCTGTCTACCTTTATTTTAAATACATACCTCAGCAAAAATGAGCTAACTATAATACCTACCAAGATATTAAAAAGTATGACTATATGCAGAACTGTAATCCTTGAAAATCACTAAAAGAATAGAGAGCACAGAATAGAAAAACCTTTGTATAAATGGCTAAATGACTTTCAATAAGTGTGCAAAGACTATACAATGGGGAAAGGACACTTCAACAAATGGTGCTGAGAAAACTAGGTACCCAGATACAAAAGAATGAATTTGGAACCTTACCTTGCACCACATATAGAAATTAACTCCAAGCAGATTAAAGACCTAAATGTAAGACCTAAGACTATATAACTCCTAGAATAAAACATAAGGGAAAAGCTTCAGGCTATTGGATTTGGCAATGATTTACTGGATATGACACTAAAAGCATAGACAACAAGAGCAAAAATAAATAAATTGGACTACATCTAATTTAAAAATTTCTGAGCATCAAAAAAAAACCAGTCAATCCAGTGAAGAGGCAACCTATGGAATGGAAGTGACTATTTTCAAATCACCTATCTGATAAGGGCTTAACATCCAGGATATAAAGGGAACTTCTGCAACTCAACAACAATAAAATAACCCA